GGTGAACCTGGATTTGGTTTTCTGTATGCTTCTGTGGCTGTGTTTTGGGTGAGCTTAACACTTATATCAGTGGCGTCTGAGTAAAGCAGTGAAGGGTAAATGAAGTAATTCAGCCTATTTTCTGCCTTCCTATCACTAGCCTCTACAGCCCCCACCTGCGGCCTACGCAAAGGCGCTTGGGAGTGTGGGTGCGGGCATGGCATGTGCGCCTATGATCATGGACACCTGGGCCTGGAAGCAGGGATAAAAGCAATGGCTGCAGCGGGGGATGAAGCGGGCAGCAGTGTGACTACAGAACGAGACGCGTATGAGGTCACACAAGACTGAGAGGGAGAACGCCCGAGAACTCCAGAGAGGAGGGGAGAAGGGGAGAGAGGTAGAGAGAACTCAGAGAGCTTGGGGATCTCAGGGGCTGGGAGGCTGAGTTGCCTCCCAAGCTTCTCCTGGCCCTCCTGCCCTATAGCTGCTTGGTGTACAAGAGGATTGTGCTCCATAGCATGGGTGGGCCTCACCAGCCAGTGGAAGGCCTTCCTGAACAAAGACTGGCCTTCCCGAGCAAGAGGGAATTCTCCCAGCAGAGACCCTTTGGAGTCAGACAGCAACTCTTCCCTGCTGGCTCACCCTGCAGATTTTGGACTCGCACCCCCACAATCCCAAGAACCAACTCTAACAACCTCTCCCTCTTTCTCTTCCTCTCTCCCCGCTGACTATCTCTCATCCTGACGAGTATAGAGACTGAAGTGTGTGCTGCCCATGCTGGGGATTGGGGGTGTGAGGGGCAGTCACAGGAGTCGTGGAGCCTGAGCTGGCTGAGGCAGAAGGAGAAGCTGGCTTTTCCTTCCCCTGGGGAAAAAATACAAGGAGGTGGGCCCACAGCTGCGTCCTCAAGCCCTGGTGCAGAAATGCTGTACCAAGCCTAATATGTGCCCAGTCAGTGTGGCTCAGATAAATGGCAACTGAGTGAAGGTGTGGAGGCGTCCCCAGCCCTGGGCGGGGAACAAGGACCAGAGACAAGAAAAAGGGTCTTCTGCCTCTCCCTGCTCCGCCTCAGCGCAGGGCTGGGCACTTTTGGGGTTCTCAGTGAAGCCTCCAACATTGTGTTCCTGTTCCCTCCCAACCCTAGGGCGCGGAGGTACAGCAGACGCCTGCACTGACCTCAGGGTGCTAGCGCTGTGGGGAGCCTCTGAGGCGCCCCAATGAACTGAGGCCACTGTTTGAAGTCCCGGCACCTTCTAAGGATTCAGTTTAACAAGCTGGGTGCTGCGGGCACCTGGATGAAAGACGCTATATAAAGGCATGAGATAATTACCAATTAAAGCCATTTTCTTAGAAACAGGAAGGTCCCATTTGCCAAGAGTAAACAGCGGGGGCAGGCCCTGCCTGGGTGCAGGACCTGACAGTTGAGAAAGTCGTTCTGGGTGGGCTCAGAAGCCGTGGTGAGTCAGAACGCAGGGTCAAGTGGGGCCAGAGTTCCCACCAGCTGAACCCCAAGAGTGAGGTGTCAGAATCGGGAGCAGGGTCCCTAGGGCAGTAGGAAGGGTCCCTGATCTCTACCCTGCCTGGCATGAAAGGAGGAATTGCCCAGCTGGTGGGGGCCTGCTCTCCCTAACTCAGAGACACCCCAACATCTTCTGCAGGATGTAACCTGAAGAGAAAAACAAGGGGGAAGCTAGTCTATGGCTTCCTTTCCATAAATTTCACAAGTATCTAGTGAGTACCCCCTATTTGTGCAGGATGCTTGGGGTGCAAGAGTGGATGAGACAAACTTGCCTACTCTCCCAGGGCTTACCTTCTCCTGGTCAAGCCTCACTGGTGCTGACAATGGCCCGGACACTGCCAAGTGCCTCACCGGGGCTGGCTCCTTTTGCTTCGCCCCAGCACTAGAAAGTGATCTCTAGGGTCCCCTTTACAGCAGAGGCTAGGTGACTTCCAGAGTCACCCAGCTAGAAATGGCGCAGCCCCATCTGAATTGTGCTATACTGCCTGTCCCTGAGTCCCCAGCATCTGCCCCAGAGGTTGATAAACAAGGCCCTCAGAGGCCTCCCAGAATGTGCATCCCTCCATGGACTGCCTCACCTAACAGTCTCAGCCCCCACATGAACCGTGGACCACAAGCCAGCCCACACCTCTCATGGAAGCCCCTCAAAGCCAGATCAGGAAGTCCATCTCTCCCTGACCACATCCCCAGCCCTGAGAACCACCCTTTCAACCTTCTAAGCCAGCGAGCTGGGCCAGCTGCGACTCCTGCCACTCCCCACTCTCCATCCGCACAAGGAACAAAGGTTCCTCGTGTTATGTGACCCCTTGGTTTCTGGAGCCAGCACTCTGCGGCCAGGCACAGAACCAAAGAGAGACTTAGCTCCATTTGGTACCTGCCCAGGTGCTCTGTTTACCTCGTTACCACTAGCCACTGGTTAATTCTTGCTCACCTGCCCAGTAAGAAGCTTCTTTGTAAACGCTAAGTCCTATTAACAGAAGCAAGTGCTAACACTCAAGTCAATGTACCAGCATAGCCCAGTTTCCCCAGATCACACAGCCCTTGGGGAGTCAACATTTCACAAAGGAAGATACCTACTGTATTCTAGCCCCCACTATGTGCCAGTTGCCACGCCGAGTAGATCTTAGATCTTAGCCACCCAAAGCAGTTCCTGTAACCCCCTTCTTACAAATGAGGATCATGGCCCTCAAGGAATTTAAGTACGAACAGGTGCAGGACAGCTGCATGGGAGGTCAGTTCTTTCCCTGCTGCCTCCTGAAGTGGTTTCCTATGGCTGTGTAAGACACTAGTGCACTGACTTAAGACAACACACACGCGTATTATCTGTTTCCGGGGTCACTGCTGTCTGAGTACCGCTCAGTCTCAGTCAAGCTGGTGTCAGGTTGCTTTCTCATCCAGAGACTTGAGTGGGGAAGAATCCGCTCCCAAGCTCATTACTGTGGCTGCAGAAGTCATCCGTGTCTTTGTGACTGTATGACTACGGCTTTTTGCTGCTGCCCGGGGGCTGCCCAGGTCGCAGAGGGTCCCAGCAGTTCCTTGCACATGGCTGTCTCCAATGTCATTTCCTTGCCAGCAATGAGGGTCTCTCTCTGGTCCTTTTAGACAAACTCTCATAGACTGCACATAATCACGGGAGCCTTTTCCCGTCACTTTCGTCATTTTTTGAGTAAGAATAAAGCCACAGGTGCCACTCACTCGGGGGGAAAGGGCCACTCCAAAGTGTGGCCCAGAGAAGGTGTTATCATCAGGCATCACCTCAGGGTCTCCATCCAGTGTGTCCCGGGCAGAAGGGGGCGCTTCTGAGCCCAGAGAAGTTGTCACAGGTCAAGCGGAGCTGGGAACTGCGCAGGCAGGAGACACAGCTCATGCCCACACTGAGCCCCACTGCATGAGCAAGACCAGAGTCCTCCAGCACCTTTCCAGCTACAAAGTAGCTTTCCCCAGCTGTTTCTGGAAATCCTCACTGGTGAGTGAGTGGGAGGCAAGGCAGGGTTGCTGCACCCCCACCCCGGCAGCTGGAGGAAGCAGTTTCGGGGGGGGGGGTCTGCACCCACTCTATCCCCAGACAGCCCACTGCCATCCAGCTCTCGTGCCACCCCACTGCTCCGGGTCAGCACGTGGCCCTTCATCCTGGCACTAAGCCTGTGCCACCGCTTCCTGTCTTGCAGAGACAATCCTGCAGTGTCAGCACAGCCTCCAGCCACCGCCTCCCAAGCCCTGGAGGAGTCGGGGTGCCGCTTCCCAGCAAGCGTGTTTCCGCAGCCTTGTTTACAGTTGTTGAACTATTTTCGTCAAATTAATTAAATACATGCTAAATCCTCTCCAATTTGTTGTGCGATAAATTAAAGATGCTAAGATTGTGAAATGCACAACAAAGCCTGTTTATTCTGATAAAAGCCCGCATGACAGCCCAAGTCAAGCGTCAGCCAGTCCAGTATCTGCTTCCATCGGGCACCTTTGTCAGAACAGGGTTTTCTGCCACCAAATTCGCTGGCTGCCAGGGTCCCAGCGAGCTCTCATGGCTATCCGACACGGTGACCTAAGGCTCCAATGGAAGCAAAGACCCCAGGTCACCGGAGAAAAGGATGTATGGAGGCCAGGACTAAAAAACACAGATTCTACCCCCAGAATCTCCTGCGGGGCCTTGTGGGTGAACAGCCTGTAGGAAAAACAACTTAACCTGGGCCTACATTCTAGCACATACAACAACTCAAGTAACCCTCATACAACTCTCTGAAGGAGGTGCTACTATTGCCCCATTGTACAGAGTAGAAAGTAGAGACACAGCATGGGATGTGGAGGCTTCTAGATGGGGTCCAGCTATCTAGCTTAGAGTCTATATTGGTCACCACTATGCACACAGTCTCCCCCTCCAGCTCTGGCCTCCCATCCCAGGCACAGCTTTGGCAGAACCAGCCACCCCAGACCAGACAACAGACACAAATCCCTCTGGGGTCCAGGGCATATGAACCACCCACACTAACATCTGCCTTGCTCTTTTCCTTCTCTGGGCAAAGGGCATTCCATAGGTCTCCATGAGTGAGCTAAGTCTCCTAAAACTACCAAGGAGGAAGAGGGTATGGACCAGAGAAACTGAGGCATAGAGAACCCTATATCATCAGCCTATGAACCAAATCCCTTTCCCGAGTACATGGATTTACAGATTCAGCATGACTTCAAGTCACTGCCCATGTGGGTTCCTGGGCAAACCCCAGAGCTATGTTATTCCCATTCTGTGGATGAGGCGACTGAAGCTCAGAGAAGAAAAGGAACTTGGAGATGTGGTGGGAAGGCCAGGTTCAGACCTCAGAAAAGGCTTGAGTTGTTGGATCCCAAAGACCAGGTCCCTATTCCAGGGCACCCTCTCAGCCCCCCTCATCCTAGCCAGGTGCTGATATCCCGGGGCATGACCAACAGAGACCCAGAGGAAGGCCTTGCTGTGTCCTAATCCTCAGCTTCCACCCATACAAAGCGGGCACTGCAGTAACCCTCTCCCTGGCACCCTGCAACCTGCAGCAACTGTGGACTGAGGCCATCTTGTAAACTGATTCACAGCGGAATGACCGTCGCTGGCAGTGCTGCTGCTGCTGCTGCTGGTGACCCTGGGGAGAGGAGGAAGATAAGTGGGGGGAGCTCCGGGTCAGCACCTCCTGCCAAGGGAGGTCCCCCTTTGCAGATCTTATTCCTGTGCTCTCAGGTAGGCGGTGGCCCACGCTGCCCGAGCCTAGCCTGACCAGGGTTTCCTGGGAGGCAGGCAGGCCGCACGGCCTCAGGGACCTCTGCCAGAAATGTGTGCCCGTTCGGTGGTGGCTCTATCACAAGCTCTTTGCTGGCAAGTGCTCCTACTCCATGACTCTCCTCTGCTCCTCATGTCCTCGTATGACCCTGGCATGCACAGGCCCCAGCCTTTCCCAGGTGCCAGCTCTAGGCCAGTGGTGGATCAGACCCAGCACCTGCTACCTGGTCAGTCACAGGTGGCGGAGGTCAAAGACCCATTGTCTGGACAGGAGAAGGACACGGTAATCTCATGGCACCCAGAAGAACCAGAAGGTTCTAACTAGAGACAGTGGGGAGGATGTGACCAAAGGAACAAATGAGCAGAGGAGACACTGAAGCGGAGGTTTTAAAGGATGAGCAGAAACTCTCCAGACCCAGAGGGAAGGAGACCCGGGCAGGGAGGTGGGGAGAGGGGAGATTCATACAGTCTGCTGGACCCTGCTTTGCCTGCTCCTGTTCCCTGCATGGTCGCTGGAAACACTGATGCAGCAGAGGATGCCTTTGGTGTAGTTCACACGCAGAAATGGCAGAGACTTGCCTGTGAAGGTGAAAGTGCCAGGTGCTTGGGCGGGGGGCTGTACCCCAGGTAAGGGCGTTGGTTCTATGCATGGCTGGGAGCCCCAGATAGGTTAGGGGTAGCGAGAAAAGTGAAGCAAACACTGGCCACAGACACAGAGCCGGAAAACGAGAAGAGGCTGATAAAATAATGCAGGCAAGAGGCACTAGAGGCCTGGGTGGGGGCTCCATTGGGGGTGTCGATTAGAATAGTAATGGGGTAGAGCTGACAGAATGTGGGGAACAATTGTGAGCTGAGGAGATGAGCAGGCATCCAGGCTGCCCCCCACTTGCTTGGTAATGAGGTGGGTGTCCTTTGGGCTCAGTAACATAGCCACAGTGAATGTTACTGTCCAGGAACCACTAGGGAGGAGCTTTACAGTGACCAGGGAAAGTCACCAGTCACCCCAGAAAGGTCAGGGCGCGAGGGGAGCGCATGGAGCAGTCTGGAAGCCAGGTGGGTCTGGCTGCGGGAGTGGGAGGCTACGGCAGGTGTTGACATTGGTGGAAATTTCGGGAAAGCTGTCAGGTCCTCTGGGATCAGAGCCGCGCAGGGTGGAAGCCAGTCACTGTGAGCCGGCAGGGCCCCGGGCCTCCCAAAGAGCTGGTTGGATGGGGCAGGACACAGAGGGAAGAACAGGGCAGGTTGGGAGCTGCTGGCACCGCTGCATCTGTCTTTCCCACCTCTAGCCATGCAGGCTTCAAGTTTCACTTCAGGCAAACTCTGCACCCCTAGAGGGGAGTGGGGGGGATTCTGGGAAACCAAGAGCGATTAACTCCGTCCAGCACAAATGCTGACTCAGCCACTGCTGAGACGGGGTCCCCAGGAGGGGCAGAGGCAGGGCCGCTCATTTGCACTCAGCTAAGGGATCACTTGGGGCCGAACTCCCAACTCTGGCGTGAAGCTGCATCTCCCTGAAGGAAAGGGTGTCTTCTAGTTTACAAAAGGCACCCTTTGAGCCTGGGCAGGATAGGGGGGAGGGGTGGAGTTCCCGCTGGGGCAGGAGGTGTTTGGGTGTCTGTAGGGCTGAGCTTTTTCCCTGTGCTCAATCCCTAGTCTGTGGCCAACACTGAGCATGGGACAGTCTCCCCTTAAGGGCCAGGTTCCGTGCTGGTTCCATGCTTGATGTCTGGGCTGACCGAGAACAGACTGAGCGTAGGTGGTGATGGCCCCAAAGTCCCAAGAGGGCAAAGCTGGGCCCCAGGCAGGGGTACAAAAAGGGGCAGAGGCAGAAGGAGAATTTTGTCTTAGAGCTATTTCAGACAGAAGAAGCAGCCCGTGGAGGGGATGAGCTCCTGTCGCTGGAGATGGGCAGGCAGAACTGGACGGTGCGTGGCAGATTTGGTGCAGGGCACATTATGCAGTGACAGGTGGTAGTTCAGCTACCTGCCCTCCTGGGCTGTGAGCTCAACAAGACAGACCTCTGAGGATGGGAGGGCGGGGCCTCCCCACTTCTCCCTGCTCACTTCTTTTTGGAACCGGCTTGGGTATTTAGAAGATTAATTTCATGTTTGTGCAAAGCAGGGGATTAAGAGGGGAGGAGACTGAAGTTCTCTGTAGGTTGTTAAGAAAACATCATCTAAAAAAAGATCTGGCAAAATCGCTCTGGATGCAAGTTACAGCTGAATGCGCCTCTTACCGCCAACATCCAGGGCTTTTCATCGGTGATTTGTTTCCATTCTCTGCAGTCTTGGAACCAAACCCTGGGGCTCTGGGATGCTGAAAGACACGGTGGGGTGCATGCCATCACTCACAGCAAGGAGGTTGGGGTATCCTATGGCCACCCCGTCCTGCCTGGGTCTGGGCTTATAGACCCAAGACAGAATTCTTCCATGGAACCACTGGCTCCTCCGTCCTCTGCTGCTTCTTGCTTTACTTCTCATCACCCCTGGGGGAGCCGGGGGGGAGAACAAGGCTCTGAGAGGGCACGGCCTCCCTGAGCACGCACAGCAACTTGCTGACTCCTCTGAGCTGCCACTTGCCCTGAGAGGTGGAGGTGAAGGGCCACAGCAGGCCTTCCCAGGGCTTGGGAGACACAGTCCAAGCTGCCCAGCTCCTGTGCTTTTTATGGAAGTAGCTTGGGTTAAGATGTAATTCACATACCACACAATTTGCCCATTTGAAATCGTACAATTCAAGGACTTTTCGTATAGTCACACCGTTGTGCAACCATTACAATCAACTTTAGAATATCTCCATCACTCCCAAAAGAAACCCTGAACCCATTAACAGTTGCCCTCCAACTTCTCCTACCCTCCACCTTCCCAAGCCCTTGGCAACCACAGATTGGCTCGCTCTCTCTACAGATTCGCCTGTTCTGGGCATTTCAGATAAATTATCCAGTACCTGGTCCTCTGTGACTGGTTTCTCTCCCCTGGCATAATATTTTTAAGGCTTGTTTATGTTGCAGCACATAACAGCACTTCATTCCTTTTAAGGTCAAATAATACCCCAGCATATGGATAGACTGTGTTTTGTGACCCGCCTGAGGCTGGGTGACAAGACAAGCAGGTAGGAAAGACCACAAAGGGTGGGGTGGCCCCAGAAGGCTTCCTGGAGGAGGAGGGAGCACTCATACTGGGGCTAGAAGAACAGATGTGAGTTGGAGAGAAGGGGATGGAAAAGGCATTTGTGGTGGGAAAAGCAGTCTGAGCAAAGACATGGCAGGAGGTGATGAGGGTCCTGCCTGCTACCTTGCCATCTTCAAAGTAGACCTAGAACTGTGGCGGTTGTGATCCCCCCTACTCTGTAAACTAGTAGGTCTCGAAGGATGGTCCCTGGACCAACAACATCAACATCACCTGGAAACTTCTTAGCAATGCAGATTCTCAGGGTTCTGCCCCAACCTGCAGAATCTAAAATACTGGGGGTAGAGCTCAGTCATCTCTGTTTCAAGGACGCCTCAGAAGACTGACATCCACTCAGGCATGAGACCCACTGCCACGGATGCTTTGGGTTAAGGCAGACACCAGGTAGGATTGGCAGGAAAGGAGAAGGAGAACCGGGAACCATCCTATAAGCCTGGAGCTGCTAGCCCACCCCACCCTACCCCATAAACTGCGGCTCCCAAGCCCTGCCTTTGCCCACGAAGCTTCCACCCCTGGGGTAAGTGTCCTGTTTAAGGACCTGGCCTCAGGCTTACCTCCTAGTCATCACACACTCCCCCTCCACCCCTGCCAGCTGACCACTCACCCTTTCCCTGTATTCTAGCCCCCACCCCACCCCATCCTTAGATCCTCTTCAGGGACCAGCAGTGCACACAGCAGGTGCACAGATCAGACTGGGTAACAGGAAGCGGGCATGGACCAGCGACCCCTGGGGCACGCTGACACTTGCTCACCTGGGTGTCTGTGCCCGGACTGTTCAAGCCTCTGCGAATCCCTGACATGCCCAGACGGGGCAGTACTGCTCAGTAATTCCCCGCAACCCCAGCAACAAGGATCGTGACCAGAAAGAGCCAGGCACCAAAGTGTACAAAATATACGGATTCATTTATCTGAAGTTCAAAAGCAGCACAACTAATCTCAGGTGAAAGAAATCAGACCAGTGGCTGCCCAGGATGGGAAAAGCAGGATTGGTAAAACTTTGGGTAATGCTGTGAGGTTTGGTCCACAATGATTCAGTTGGCAGGCCATGTGCCCAGGGCATGGGTAGCTTTGTGGAAAGCGGTTGGGAAAAGCAGTGTATTGTGGGCTGGTTCCTAAGGGCTACCTTTAGCAAGAGACTGCAAGAAAGAGGTGACCTCAGCAAAGATCTGGACAGCCAAGATACAAAGATAAAGAGGATAAGGAAGAGTCCAGAAATCTGAGACTTTTCCTGGTTTGAAAAGTCAATTATTTCTGGTTGTTAACTTATGTGTGTTATATGTAAATAAAACTTACCCTGCAAAATATGCCCTCTAAGGAAACACACTGAATTCAGGAATTAGAGGATCATTTTAGCAAAATCTCCAATTAGCATCCCCAGAGGGACTCAAAAAGTACACAAAAAAACTCTAGGAAATTTAAAAATGTTTGCTAGAATGTTTTAATGTAATAAAACTTAAACTCCTAGGAAGTGTGGTCGGGGGAAGAGAGGTAGAAGATGAAAAATGGAATTCTGTGAAGAGGGCCAATGAAGAAAACCCAATACCTAACACTGGGAGCTTCAGAAAGACAGACCAGAGAATATGGAAGGGAATATATTATCAATGACACACAGAAAAGAAACTTCCAGAACAGAGGCCATGAAGCTTCAGTTTGAACCTGGCTGAGCATCCAACACAGTGAAATGAAACTGAAGGGCGACACATGGAGACATCACAATGAAGCTTCAGCAGGTGAACATTCAGAGGTGAGCATTTCAGGAGGACAGAGTTAGAAAGCAGCATCCTGCAAAGAAATCTGGATTCAATGGGCCACACAACTCTCGTCCACGGCACCATCTAACAGAAAAAAATGGAGCAAGCACTCCTCTGTCTGCAGAGTAATTATTTTTAATTTTGAATTCTATACACAAACTAGCAATCACCCCAGAGGAGAAGGTCCTTCTTTACACCTTTAAAGTCTCAGCAAGTTTGTCACCTCCCACCTCCCCTAGCCCCTCCCTGTGGGGGGAAGTGAATAAACCAAGAAAGAAGAAGGACCAGACAACAGTAGCCTCCAGTTCAGGGGCTATAACAAAGGAACACAGGCAATGGCAGGGTCCCCCCAAGCAAAGAGGATGAGTTAGAAGGGGCACAGGAGAATGGGGGAACCCCATAGACTTGACAGTATACCCTCCCTTGGAACATCAAAAGAACTAAAGATGCAACAGCAAAAGAACAGCACTGAGAAACTTCCAGAAAAATTAAAACTAGACTTCAATGAAAAAGTCATTCATTCACAGAAGGCCACTGGGCTTTGAGGTGAGCACTATTTATATCACACTATTTACTATTTACACAGCAATGGAATAGTTTATTTATTTCAACTTTCATAATCAGCCATAGACAAAGCTAGACAAGTTAGTTAAGACTAAGGAACATGCATATTTTTCAGCACAACAATGAAAAAGGACAAATGGTGGCTATGGGGGCGGGGGACAGAGCAAACATCAGTGGGAGAGGCCCCAGCTGTCAGTAATCGATGAAGCAATTAAAGTCCTGAAGAGAAATAATAGAGTAATTAAAAATAGGGGGGTGACTATGTTGGAAGAAGAGGGACCAGAGGAGATAAATAAGTTAAATCTTCAGGTCTTGGAGAGGAAGTCATCAGATATCTAAAATTGATAAAGCAAGAAATAGCAACACTAGACAGGTCACCCTACTGGCCACTCTGCCTTTGGGTCCTTGTGGTTATTTGGGGAATCCCCTTCCATGCCATGCCCCTTCTCTGCCTGCCTCACAGTCAGGGTCATGTTCCTGGCCAGTGTCAGGTGCTCGGTGGGCTCAGCCAATCAGATGCACTTGCTCAGACAGTGGCACAAAAGGCAGGAGATGGAGCAGACTCCGAGCAGATGCTGTTCCAGCGAGACTGCAGGCGCATAGGCAGCCACATTTAGCTTCTAGAAGAGGTAGGGATGGCAGAGCAGTGTCCTCCGTCAGGGTGCAGGAGTCACAGGCTGCAGGGGTGGGTCCTGCAGGGGTCTTCACCAGGCCAATGTTGGGGCTTGAATTGGGGTGTCATGTCCATAGGGGTACCCTGACCTCCTGGGTCTCCAGTCGCCCACTGATTTTGTTAATCTCCTGATATACTTCTAATAAATGTTCTTTCTACTTAAATTACCCAGAAGAGGTTTCGGTTGCCTGCAACTCAGATTTAAGCCATGTGCACTGGTTCTTAGAGCTAGGAAGGTAGTCTCCAGGAAGGAGGGAAAACAAAATAGTAACAGGTGGTTATTGCTGAAGAAGGGGACATGGGTGGGGAGGAGGGAGCAGAAGAATCTGTATATATTTTTAAACCTATGTGCATTTGTTAATTTTATTAAAATTTATATACTTTTTTTTTTTTTTTACTAATTTCAGGGGTCAATTTCTAGTTGATGAGAAGGAGGAGGTCTGATAGTTGGGAGGTGGGGGGCGTGGAGAGGAAGTCACCAGCCAGGGATGGCAGGGGTGACCCAAAGGAAAGCTGCTGAGGGGATGGTGTGAGAGAAAGCCTGTGAATGGGGATCCAGGTCTTCATTGGATGAGGAGCAAGGGGGCGGATGAACTGGCCCCAAAGAACCTCAGAGGAGTTTCTGCTGCCACGCCAGGCTCGTACCATGCAGCTTCGGAGAGCAGATTCTGTCCTTTGTCCATTAACCCCAGTTTCCTCCAGGCCCCCAACTCATCTCCCTGCCTACCCACAGATCCCCAGCCCCAAGCCCACCCGAATTCTGATAAAAAGCTATAAGAAACATTCCCGTGGAGGGTTTCACAGGAGAGAAGGGAGAGGGCCGGTCTTTCAGACAGGTCGGCAGTGACGTGGGGAAGAAACAGACACTAACATTTTCCCATAATGACTTGAGGGCAGGGGAAAAGAGGACCTGGTTGCTGTCCACAATCATCTGCAGAATATCCAAGACCCCAGATTGCTGAGCCACCGGCGATGAGTACATACTTTAGGCAGTTAGAGTTAGAGTTGGGTTCAAACAAGGATGCCCATTTGGAGGAGTGAGCTCCCTGTCAGGGGAGGTGTGAAAGAAGAAACCACACCTCCACCCAGCTGGGCTAGTGCAGGCAGGATTCATGCATGGGAAGAGAATCTCCTGCAGCCCTGCAACCCTAAGGAAAGGAGATGAAGAAAAGCAAGAGGAAGGAGGGGAGAGCCGAAGAGGGCCCAAGGCAAGAAAGAAGATGCCACGATAGCAGCTGCTGAAACAGCAGCTCAAGATGGAAAAACACCCTTATTTGTGGGGAATTTGTTTCAGCAAATGAGAGACAGTGATGATGCTCAGGCTGTCTCCTGAAATGAATACCATCTGGGGAAAAATACCAAATTCAACAGGACCAGTTTTTTTTTTTTTCTCCCACTAATGATTCAAGCCAAGTTTTGTGGCCCTCCTGATTTATCTGTTTAGAAAGAAGCTCTTTCTTCCCAAGAGCCAAGCCCATCCTCTGGCCAGATGAGGGCTCCCGACCACAGAGAAGTTCCACTTCTGAGGCTTTTTGTGAAATCTATCAGCTACACACAGAATGGATTAAATGTGGAGGTACAGTTTATATGATAAACATGCACTTAACGCCCAAGTACTCATCCCCTGGTTTAAGAACTAGAAAATTATTAGAACCTTAGAAGCTCCCTGTGGCCCTGGGGGTAACCACTGCTCCAAATTTCAGGTTAATTACCCCTTTGCTTTTCTTGAAAACCACCTACTATATCCCTAAATAATATATGGTTTTGTTTTGCTTGTCTGTGACCTTAAGATAATTGGAATCATACTGCCTACATTCTTCTACGACTTTATTCTTTTGCTAAATATTGTTTGAAGATTCATTTACATTGATGTGTGTAGCTATATTTAATTTGTTTCTATTCTCTATAGTATTTCAGCTAATGAATATGGATTTTTTTGATTGACATGTGAATTGAGAAGTTTTTCTTTTTTAGTTTCCAAATGGATGCTGTTTTTTTAGCTATCTGTTTATCATTGATTTCTAAATTAATTTTATTGTGGTCCTACATTATAGTCTGATGATACATATCTTTTGAAATTTGTAGAAGCTAGCTTTGTGAGCTAACCTTTTTTCATAAATATTCGTGTGTCCTTGAAAAAATATTTCCCCATTGTTGGGTATAATGTTCTCACTTGATCAAGATTGTGATGTGTACTAGATTGTTGAAATACTTTCTTATTCTTATCTATTTAATTTCTGTGGTGTTGTAAGCACCAAGTCTACGTGTACCATTGTAATACTGGATTTCCATTACTGTCCTCTGTGACTGTCAATTCTTGCTTTAATAAATATCTGAGGCTGTATTTTTAATGTATAAAATAAGAACTTTTTTTTTTTTAGATTTATTTATATTTATTTATTTATTTATTTAGACAAGCACTGGGTACAGTCAGAAGCGCGGGAGGGTGAGAGAATTCACCAGAGCGGGGAGCAGAGCAGGCAGAAGGACCGAAATACACTGCTGAGGGGAGCAGCGGGCGGCAGGAGAGGTCTGCGTGCCATGTGGGACCCTCCTCCGGTGGCCAGGGAGCAACCGGGGATCGAACTGGCGCTGCAGAGGCTGCGGGCAGCTTCGCAACCCGGTGCTCTACCGCTGCGCCACCGGGGAGACCCAAGAACTTTTTTTTTTTTTTTTTTTTAATCTTCCTGGTGCGTTAGCTCTTTTTTTTTCAAATTCTCCCCTTGACCCTCTTTGTCTCTCATAATACTTTGACCTTGAAGTCAATTTTTTAGACATAATGTAGACATCCCACTTATCTCTATTTGTCTAGAACAATTTTGTTCAGTCTTTCTGTATCCTTATGTTTTTGGTGAGTCCCTGGCAAATAACGTACGGTTGGATTTTATTTTAGTGTGTGACGGTCTTTGTCTTTTAGCTTAAAAGTTTGGTCCATTTACATTTTAGTGATGGCAGATCAGTGTGAGTTCATCTCTACCATCTTACTATATTTTCTTACTTGACCTTAATTTTCTGCTCCTTTGCTCCTACTCTTGTCTCCTTTTGATCTGTGTATTAATTAGGTATTGCTGCAACAATATTGCATAACAGACAACCCCCAAATCCAGTGACTTACAACAACAAAAATGTCTTTCCCACTCTTGAGTCTGAGTTGGCTACAGTTCTGCCAGGTCTTTATTCATATTCTAAGTCAGCTCCCAGTATATTCTTACAGGGACCCGATGGAACCTCAAAGGCTCTCTAGGGGTATGTGGCAGAAGCACAAGAGACAAAGTCAAATCATACAGGACAATTAAGGTATCTGTCTATATCTACTCACATCGCAATGGCTAAAGCAAGTCACATGATGAAGCTCCATATCAGTGTGGTGGGGAAATATACTCCTCCCTTGAAGGAAGGGTAGACAGAATAATTATTTGCTGAACAAGAATATATCCTACCATGATTGATTGAGGTGCATTTTCTTTTTTTGGGAGGGGTGGCTTCTTTTATATTTCATTCTACCACCTTGTCCCCATTTGTTTGAATTATATACCTATTCTTTTAGCCATTATGCTAATTATTTTAATACGCATACTTAATAAATTCTAAAGTTAATTTATTTCCTCCTCCTGGCAAATACAAGAACCCTAGAATTCTCTAACTGAAATCACTCTACTTATAATTTACAGGATACTTTTGACCAGTATCTTAGTACTAAACTATCTCCCCACATGCTTTCGACGTCAGTATCATTTTATAAAGCCAAGGTTTATTTTTAGCTTTAATTTACAATTTTTGCTTCTCATTCCTTTTTGCATCTCAATATTTTACTGGAGATCATATTCACTCCTCAAATACGGTCAAATTTCATCTCATAAAGGTCTGGCTGACTTGTTATTTATCTGAAATGTCTTTATTTTCCACTCATGCTGAGTTCAGAGTTAATTTATTCCTTCAGACAGATATGTATGTAGTAACATACCATGTGTCAAGGCCCCTTCTAGACATTTGGGACATCTCAGCAAAAAAACTCAAATTTCCTGTCCTTGTGGACTTGCCATTCTAGAAGAGAGGGTAAGATTATTAAATAAAATAGACAAATCAGACATCTTGCACACTACAAAGTGAAAACCCATGTCAAAAGGAAAATGGAGCAGGATAATGAGGTCACAAATGCCTGGGGGAGAGTGCCCATTGCAGCAGGAGATGGGGTGGTCAGAGCAGACCTCTGGGGCCATGACCTGTGGGCAGATATTTGTGAATACTAGAGGTGGGGGTGTTCCAGGTGGAGTAAAGAGCTGGTGCAAAGATCAAGAGGAGGGTGTACTTGGCACACTCAGTGGAACAAAGTGCATGAGGGAAAGAGTCTGAGAGGAGGTCAGAGATGGGACTTGCTGCTCCCGGCTGGACTGAACAAAATGAAGAGCTGCTGCAAAGTTTCAAGAGGAAGCCATTTATCTGAGTTTTTGTAATGATTATTCTGGCTTCTATGTTAAGAGTTGAAAGTTATTTATTTATTTTAAAAGATTGATTTATGCATACAAGAACTGGGGTACAGGCCAGAGGTGGGGGGGTGAGAGGATTCACCAGAGACAGAGTGGGGAGCAGAACAGGCAGGCTGAGTGAAATACACTGCTGAGGGGAGCAGCGGGCGAGGCAGGAAAGGTCTGCTGCACCATGTGGGTTGCTCCCTGGCCAGGGATCAAACTTGTGCTGCAGTGGCTGCGGATAGTTTCATAGGTTGTGTCTTAACCCCTTGCGCCACCAGGGAGGCCCAAGAGTTGAAAGTTACTTTAATTTCAGCACCAAAACTACTGCCATGTCCTCTTATCTTCTGGCTTTTCGTTGTTGCTCTTGAGAAGTTGGCTGTCAACCACATGGCCATTCTTCTGCAGGAAATCTTTCTTTCCTCTTTTTCTTGCTTGCAGCTCATTAGAAGACCTGGGTCTACAGATTAGACTTCCAACAATTCCAGAATGTTCCTCACCACTATCATTTGAAATATTGACTTTCCTCATTCTCCCTATTTCCTCCCAGTAGGATGCAGATTAGATTTTTTTGTGTAGCTCTTGCTCTATTTTTATGTATCTGTGTTACCCTTTCATATTTTTCATCTCTTTCTGATCCTTTGCATCATTTTGAATAAATTCTTTAGTGCTCTTATTCAGTTTTCACTCACTTTTTCCTCTGTGTCTAGTTTTCCTCTTCATTTGTGGATACAGATTTGTTTTATTTTTATTATAACTTTCATTGGGAAAAAAATATGTTAGATTTTTCCCCCAAATGTATTCATTTCACATTCATATTTTAAAGCTCACCTTCCATTTCCTCAAATGTATCAACATAATTATTTTAATATTCTGTTAAATAATTCTAGTATTAATATCTTCTTTTGGTTCATTTTCACTCCTTTTCCCCTATTCTTATTCTTGGTGACTTTATTCTCCAAAATGTTTGCGGTTTTTGACTGTGAGCTGCTCGTTTTACTTGGAAATGTATTTGTGAGAATTGTTTAAAGACAAAAGTTTCTCCTCTGAAAGTTTCTAGTGACCCAAGTTGACAATGCCTGGCTCCAAGCTGCTGCTCTCCCTCTCTTAGCACCTCTTTCCAGAATTCCTTTGTTTTGTGTTCTCTTCTCATATAAACATAAAAATAATACAGTCACTTTTCATTGCTCTTGGTTGTTAAAATTTATAAAAATTGCTGCAAGCACTAAATTAGTGAATACTTAACTTTGCTCATAGAAGAAAAATAAATGCATGTGCACTCACATGCACACACACATCTCTCACCTAGATTGTGATTTTAAATCCTAAAACATGCCTCTCCGGTGGCGCAGCGGTTGAGCGCTGGGTTGCGAAGCTGCCCGCAGCCTCTGCAGCGCTGGTTCGATCCCCGGCTGCTCCCCGGCCACCAGAGGAGGGTCCCACATGGCGCGCAGACCTCTCCTGCCGCCCGCTGCTCCCCTCAGCAGTGTACTTCGTTCCTTCTGCCTGTTCTGCTCCCTGTTCTGGCTCTGGTGAATTCTCTCACCCTCCCACATTTCTGACTATACCCAGTGCTTGTATAAGTAAATAAATATTAAAAAATAAATAAATAAAATGGTAATCATTTAAAATAAAAAATAAAAATAAATCTTAAAACAGCTCATCTTGATTGATTCTATTTCTCTATATATATTATATATATATATTTATATATATAAAATATGAAGCTCAGAAGTGTTAAGTGACTTGCCTGGGGCTGCCCCACTAACAGGTCCTAGAGTTGGCAACTGAATACAGTTCAGTTGGTCCCAGCACAGGAGAGTCTTAAATTACACCGTCTGCACCTGCTGTCTTCTTCCCCGGACATCTCTGAGCACTGAAACAAGAAGGCAGGACATGGCCTTATTCAACCTCAGCAAGGAATGTGCACATTAGGCAAACAGAAATTCTCACCAGCAAAAGCACCATGAGTATTAACCTTGGGATTACAAATAAATTTTAGTGAATAGCTGAATTTACAAGCACAGAATCTGTGAATCATGAAGACTGACTGCATGTAATCTTCTTTTATCCACAAATACCTACTCAATAATGATTTTTCCTGTTCTTTAAGTACATCTCTGGGGGCAGGGGATGCTTGAGTGAAATGTTCTGCATGTCTGTGTTTCAGATTTTCTATCAGTTCAGTGGACCAAATGGAATGTAAACGTTCTTAGTAAACAATAACACATATGTGCAAGTGCTTGGCAAACACAGGGTTACTGCTCCCTGTATTCTTAAATGTGCCGAACCCACAATTGCAGTGACACCCTGGCTCCAGGCACCATTTCCAGTTCTTCCCATGGAACTGAAGTTTATGTAGCCAGTAAATATCCTAGGGCCCATCTGATCCCACTCCACTTCTTTGTTGGTCATTTAATAAACCTTTATTGAACATTGATTATGAGTTCGCCCCAGAGAGCTGCTGGATGGCAGGAACATTAGAGCTGAGCTAAAGAGACCATCAAGGGCCAGATCCAGACCTCAGGAGAGGAGCCAAAGGGAAGATCTAGCCACAACTGAGAAACTAAGGGACTTATCGGTCTACCCGGACAGCTCCAGCCCCTCAGGAAAGCCCGCTGTCCTGCAGAGATGGAACTGCTGAGGAGATTGTGTCAGCTGCTGCTGAGAAGTAAGATGCACCCAGAGAAAGGCCCCTTGCACTTGCACTTGCCACTCCATCCTCACTTCCCTCTGGAAGCCACTCAGAGCGGCAAGAGACTTGCAGACGGTCATGCAGGTGGGAGGAACCAGAGGCAGGATTTAAATGCTTCTGATTCCTCTCTGGACAAAAGCCACATGTGCTCTGTCAAATGACTCTGAGCTGGCCTATCCTCAGGGACGTCCGAGACATCTGGGCAGTCACAGGGAACATTTTCCTACCACTTACTCCCCAACAAGCCCTGTTCAAAGGGCTTGGCTCCTGTGGCCTCGTGCTCCTCACAGGCGTTCCAGAACAGTCTATAAGATGGCCAACTGGGTGGAGTGTCAACATTGCCTTTTGTAAAGAGTTCTCAGAATTCCTGCCTCACACCCATTTCTCAGCTGAGGAAACTGAGGCACAGAGTGTCATCACTTGCCTAGCCTCATCCAGCAAGTCCACAGTGGAGCGGTGACTCAGGGCCTGGGCAGTGCGCCTGCAGAGCCTGCCCTCATTACTAGGGGTATCAACCAGGAAACTTTTTTGAAGTTGTCCTTTCTGACTCAAAATCTTAAAAATCAGGAATTTGACCCCTGGTTGGTGGTGAAGGCCTGAGGTGAAGGAGGGGGAGGGAAAGATGTCAGTGGTGGGGTAGAAATTGCTCTTGCGTGAACTAGTCTTAGACACTCCTGTCTTGGGTGGGAAAGAAGAGAGGGATTCAGCCCCCCAAGCCTGCCTCGACAGAGCGCTCTGGTGTTGACCTGCTGGATTCTTCTATCTTTCTGTTCTGACTTCACTAGAAGCAAGGGTAACACAAGTAAGGACCAAAAAAAGTTTGAAAAGCAATGGCCTCAAATTCATTGGTTTTGAAACTTGAATGTGAGCAGAATCTCCAGGATATCTGTTAACTCACACACAGGATGAGGATCTACGGTGTAATAAGAGACCCTGGGAGATTCTGGGGCCCAGGTCAAAAACCCAAGGCTGAGCACAACCTCCTTCCCATGGGTTTTACAGTTGGGGGCCTCTGTATTCTGCCAGACACACTTCTCCTGGTCCTTCCAGCAAACACACATATCTGCAAGAGCCCCTCATCTGAGTCATACCTAGGTCTTGCAGTCCTGGGGTTGAGGGTATCCCCCCAGAGTACACTGCCCCGCCCCTCCTGCCAGCCCAGCCCTGAGCTCTCTGCAAACACTCCTCATTAGCGACTGGAAAGCTGGCCCCACTGTCTCCCCCAGGCCTCACAGCCGGCTGAGAGGCTGGAACCACAGCCTGACCGCCCTCCAGCAATCCATCATTATCCCTTCCCTCGCCTGGGTCCCACCACCAGGTAATTCCATTGTTAATTAAAATCCTGCAGCCTTTAATAACACAGCTCATAATTGCTGTTTTCACCAGCCTGGGATCGGCTGTTCAGGCCTTGGGGGGACCCAAGCTTTTGTTTCCTGGGCTTGGCTTTGACAGAGCTCTCCAGTTGTGTATTTACTGCTCTCCCTCAGCCAAGAGTCCTCAGTGGGCTTCAACAATGGAGCGGTGGAGACTAGCATCCCCCACGTGGGGGCCACCTCAGCACCCTCTGCCCCTACTAGGGAGAGAAGCCAAGGAAAGAGGCAGGCTCCCCACCAAAGCCCCAGAAACAGAACCCCAAGGGGCAGCCCCTGGGACACAACCTGGGCAGAGGCTGGTTCCTGCAACTCACACGGGGCTGAGAAGGTTCCTGAGCCCTGCGGAGGTGTCCTGCTGACCTCCTCCACGTGTGGGGATGTCCTTTCTCATGCTAGTGAGAACAAGTGCCAGAACAAGTGAGGAATCTGAAGACCAGAGAGGTAGGAGAATTTCCCAAGGCCACACAGCAGACTGGAGCAGAGCTGGGAGCCCTCCAGTTCAGACCCACTGCCCTCTCATCATACTCTCTGCCCATAAGCTCCTGAGCTTTTTCACTTTCTGGCTCTCAGCCTCCACAGACTTCCTTTCCCCCAAGTCCCTCACTCCCCGCAGTCCCTGCTTCTCTTCCTCCCAGGTCTGGATGGGGACCTGGGGCCCTACAGATGCCTGCCAGTATAGGTGGGGGTGGGGAGGCACCTGGTAGTACTAGGATGAGGGGATGGGGATAATGGGTAGGGGGTCAGAGGACCATGGCTTAGAGGTCATGAAGGTTTAATGTTGGGGTCCCTGGGACCAGGGTGGAACTACAACAGCCAAATTTGGCCTGGGCCTAATAATGCACTGGAGTGGACACAGGTGGCCTGGCCCAAAGTCCCCTTCAGTTCTGAAGGCTCATCCCTCGGATGAGCTGGGCAGAAGATCCACACCCTCTGCTGAAGAGCCGCCCACACAAGACACGACCCTTTCCTGGGACAGCCCGTACCCAGTGAATGAGGGGCACAGGGCCCCCAGGTATGAGGCCCTGAAGAGAATGCTGAGGGATGACTATTATTCCAGCTCTCCTTCTGCACCCCTTTCTGCCCCCCACCCCAGATCTGGTCCTCAGGGCATCACCACTAAATTCCCTGCCAACAAGTCTCCATTCAGAGTCCACTTTCCAGGGACCTGAACTTCTAGGGCTGTTCTCTTTGGGTGCTGCTCCCTTCATTCTACCCACCCCCTCACCACTGGGGCCCCAGATCCTCACATCCTTGCCCACTACTCAGCCCACCGTGTTCCTGGCTCCTCTGCGCTTCAGAACGAAGGACAGACAGCTCCCTCGGGCCATAAATAACTTCAGCTGCCTCCAGCCAAAAGTCACAGAGGCCAAGGACCCATATAAGCCTCTGAGGTCAGCTGGGGAGCCCCCAATTTGAGAATGAAGGAACTGGAAATGCTGTCACCTGCCCTGGTCTGCCCAGCTAGGAAGACTCAGAGACGAAGCACGACTGGGTCACCCAACACCAAGCTCCCAGCTGCTCAGTGACCCCCAGGGAGAGCCCTTCACTCACCCATGGCTTTGTTAGAACGTCAGCCCATGACTTCCCAGCCCTCGCTGGTGTCCCCAAGGGGGAACCTAATTTACAAAGGGCTGGTCTCATCATTCACAATGTCATTCATTCACTCATCCACTCACGCACTGTGACTCTCCTTCACTCGTTCATTGACAGTTTCACTCAGTCACTCAACAGACGTGACTGGGCATCTGGCATGTTCCAGGTGCTATGTCCATGTTGCAGATGCCTCGGACAAGATGGACAGTTACTGTCTCTGTCTCCAGCGAGTTTACAGTCTATGGTGAGAGACATAATAACGAGATAAATAGGTGCAACACACACACATATGTATATATAATAACTTAGACAGTGGTAAGTACAAAGGAGGGAAAGGGACATGGGCTGTCCGGGGTGAGCAGAGGGTGATGCTAAGACTGGATGCCAGGAAAGTTCCCATGGGAAAGGTGACTTTTGACTGAAGGGTGTGAGACCAGGCAGTGAACAATAGGCACCTGGAGGGAGGCCTTTTCCCGGGGCTCTTGGTGGGGGAGGCCTCTAAGCAGGTCTGAGCTAGAGAGCTGCCTCTGGTGGGCTCTGTTCCTGTCTGCTGCTCCTGGTGGGGGCGGCCAGCAGGCACACAGCCCCGCCCTCGGGGCAGCCATGAGCAGGCCGAGACCCCCTTGTGCCTGGGCTCCAGCCAGTGCACCCAACTCTGAACGCTGCCTGGGCCCAGCTCACCACCCTGGGTGGCCTGCCCACCACTCAGGACCTCAGGTGCATGGTAGCACAGGAGTGCCCGCGGGCTCCTGCAGAGATTGCTGCATGTTGGCAGGCCACCCTGAACCCAGATGAAGGGAATCGCTTTCCCTGAAGTGTTGTATGTTCCCCCGAGCAGATTCCTGTGGGCCCCAACTACCTGGCTTCAACCAGACCAGCCAGACCCCCCAGACCCCCCAGAGGGATGTACCTGGCATTGCTGTCTGGGGAACCCCTCCCTCGGCCAGCCAGCAGGTTCTGCAGATCTGATTAGCTGACTTCTCTGACCTCACCTCTGTCCAGCACCCAGTCACCGGGGTGAGGGGTTCCAGAAAGCCTGTGGTGTGCCCCTGGAGAGCTTTAATGAGCCTGTGCCGGCCACCTCTCAGATTGGGAACCGGCCTTCTCTGAGGCATCAAGAGTGAACCCCACACTCACCCCGCTATGTGACCAGAACGTGTCTCTGTGGCTCTTAAGTGGGCAAGAAAGGGGGTGATTAAATGGAAATGAAATGGACGCACTGGAGCTGACAAACACAAGACAAACTGCTCAGGGCCTTTGGGAACCAGCCTGGCCTGGGAGGCATCTAAATCCACCAGAAAGATCCAGTAGGAGTTAAAGGACGCATTCTCCTCAAGGCGGGGTGGGGGGGGGGCAATCTGAGCAACAGTTACAAATTGATGAGAAAGGGAGCAGCCATGGTC